AGCCAACGGTGAAATGTAATTTTTATCCGAAATCGTGTGTAACGTGTTATATGCAGATATTTATTAGTCTTCTAAATAAATATTCCTCTAAATAAGGTGAAATTTTATAATAGGGGCTGCAGTTTAAAATACAATAGGGCTATGAAACCGAAATCTCGATTCGGAGACAAAGCAAAACTTCGGCCCCATCAATTTTATTACTCGTCTCCGCAACTAAGTCGGGGGAACTTGTAACTTGACTTATGAAAGCCTTCTTCTACGATATAATTAATCAACCGCAACCCGGCTTACTGAACTAGGCGAAGAAGTAAACGTGACACAATGATGGAAGGTCCGTGACTCATCCAAACGGAATGTCTAAGAAAACGTTTGCTGTGATTTCTTACATTAACTAATGACTAATTACTATTTAACTAGCTACTTTGAAGAACATTTGCTTTAATTTCTTTTATGTTTTCTTCCGTTACATCCTTTACATAATATTTTTGTTTCTTCCCGACCAACTACGTAACCGTCGTTTTAGCTGCTGTCAATAATTGTACAAAAATTCTGTTAACAGTCTTTTTATGTTTTTTTTTGCAGTATTTTTTTACTTTGTTGTCAAAATAGTTCACTGCCAGAAGAGCTAATATATTTAAATTCCAAATTAGATTTATAGCTCAAATATAAAGAATTAAAAAATAAGATATAGACTCAACAATCACCAACAAGTCACACGGCTTGGAAGAAAAAAAAATAATAAAAAAATTGTAAAAATATCACATAATAAAATAAAAATAACCATAATCTACCTGAATAATAATAACACGAAAATATGAATAATTTCTTAACTGATTTGATTGACAAAAATCTCTCTCGGATTACACGATAACGTCAACTTTATCAACGCGTGGACACAAACCACAATATGAGCTCTTTCAATATAGAGTTAAGGTCGATAATCAGTTGACTACATAGTCGCTATGGTATTCAATAACAAACTTGCAAGTCAGTTCCAATCCAACCAGCACAAGTTAACCATATAATAATGACTTTACGTGCGCTTAATATCCCAAATCCGATACTTGATATAGTTCAAAAGTGAGATAACAATGTTCGCTAGTTTCCGAGTCGAAACAAAGGTTTGCTGGCTGCTTGATAGATTTAAGTGACTTTAAGGCTACCCTGATTTCGGATAGAAATATTAGCTCATAATTTCTATGGGCGATTGATAATTAAATTATGAGGCGTACTTATTAATAACTTATATTTTTTATGAACACGAGTTTACCTCTGCAGCAAACCGAGATACTATTTAGGAACTGCAAATCACATACGCATCTCCTAACAGAGCTTTTGGCTACCTTGCTACAGCTATATGAACCTGTATTTCTCTAGCATGCTTGCTCTACACTTAGCTTCGACACGATTCAAGAACTGGATCCAAAGACAACTAGCAATCGTGTCCCGGGCATCTCCTTGTACACATACCAACACCGTACAAGTCAATAACTCAATCCCGCACAAAGGGGAAAGGCCGCAGTCCAAATAATCGATTAAGAACGGACGGCCTTTTGTCCGCAAATATTTGCAAGGCAGCGGCAGCGAAAGGTTTTTTCTGGAATGTCCTCTATTGTCTCCGAGTGCACAAAATTTGCCATTGTACCGGAATCAAAAGAGTAACATTAATGGACAGAAAAAGGTAAACGGCACTACCATTTGTATGAACCGATATTCCATCATATTATAAATATTCATTCCATAATATTAACCAAAGTTCGCGCGAATAGTAATGTAGTTTTCATACTGAAAAGCAAAATAAATACGTAATCTCAACTGATTTAATAATCATTTTATCTGATCTAATAAAATTTTCGTTATAAAGTGATTTGTAAAAAGATTATAAAATCCGCTTACAGATAACAAATGAGGTGTTGATAGTGAACGGTTAAGTTTTTGCAATATTACCAGTCTTAAAAACTTAAAAAATAAATAGAGACGTTGTTTAGACAAATATTTTTCCTGTAAGATCTCAAATAAAGCCTAAACTAAGGAATATTAAAAGAACGATATAAATAGAACAAGAGTCGGGCGGAATCAATGTAGCGTGCGACACGGTGGAAAAACTAATTTTGTTTAGACGTTTTAGCCCGTCCTACAAACGCTTTATTTTTCCAGGCATGCGAACAATTCGAAATTTAAAAATAAAATGCTTAGCCTCGCTTTAAAAGTTAAATATCCACTGCTATCAAATATATAAAACATTTTAATATTAGGGGATGTTGAACGATTAAAAAAATGTGTCGAGAAAATCATGTCTGTACTTACCGTCAGGTTAGTGTTGAAGCACTGCCCTGTTTTTTTATAAAAAAAAAAATAATTGTATATTGCCCAAACTAATGATTTCGTTCTTAATTTAAACTTTAATAAAAGTACAAGGAGCGTTTATTATACATTTAGTGGCATTTGCAAAATACATTTAATGGACGTTTCAAATCTTACAATGGTAGGCAATAAAGTGTTACTATCATTACAAACGCTCCGAGCAAATATTGTTATTATATTATTGTGTGTACAAGGATAAAAAAAAAAGATTAAAAATAGCTTTTATCGCAAACGAGCGGAACGATTGTGGAATAACAATGATAATGTTCTCAACAGTCACGCCCTTAGTAGGTGCTCGTTTAGAATATTTTCCAGCCAGGCTAAACTATGTAATCTAGGAAGTCGCGACGGTAAAGATGTATAACATGTGCTTAACAAACTACGATATTCGAAATTTATTCAGTCAACATGTACAAATAGCTGTTTGAGGAAAAAGAAGTGGCCTGTACTGATGTCGTAAAATTTTCCAAGCAGAGTTCTGGTTTCGATTAGATTTGGAACTGGCAGGAAACATTGCGATGTTTGCAGAGATATGACTTGTATTCCGTCGATATTCAGCGTAACGATGGTATGACTAACTTTCATACTTAATACCTCAATTTAGTATATGTGAAGTCCGCCAATTCACCGTGGGGTGGCGTAGTGATCTTTGTTCTAATACCCTGTGTACAGAGGATGCCTTTGCCCAGCAGTGGGACACTTATAGACTCTTTTACAAGGTTTATTAGGGAATAAGGTTATAAAGTAAATCCGTTACTCAATGTAAAAAAAGGGTATGTCTCAAGAAGTTTGACTTATCTGTGAAGTCTTAAAGACAGCTGGGCCGTGGAAATAAGATGGGTATTGGTCATCGTTGATGGATGTATGGGAATCAGGTACTTAGCAAATTGGCCCGCTGCGATTACTGTCTATACTCGCGTGGGAAAGCGTGAGCAGAGAGCAACATTTTGTATCAAAATGTTGAACATCTACATTGCATTGCGAAATTCAGCCTTAACGCTCGGCAACAAGGTACTATACACATTAGGGAACATACGTCTAAAATACTACTTACATTAATTCGATATAAACGGCCATAACAAGAGTGAATCACACGTCTGACAGTTCCCGTACACACTATGACTTATGTTGACCTCACTGTAGTTACGACAAACGATAGGCGTAACGTTAGCCTTGCTGCCGGATAGAACATAATTGTGCGGTTAAATAACTTCTAACATTAGTCCATTCGTGAAGTGTGAGGTTATTTAAAGAAATCTATTTAAAAATCACATAAAAATCAATTAACATTTAGAACATTTCTATTGGATTGTGCATGATGAATATGCAGAAAAATATTTTTGTTATTTCTTGTTATTCTTTGTCCGAGCAAATATTTGAATAAAGCCTTGTAGCGTGACGATCTGTAAATAAATTGATAACACAATCCTTACTGCTTCCTTGAAATAAATAATAGGTTCAGCACACAAATAATAAAGCTAGGTAATTGACACATGGTTTCGACTAAATATGGTGTTCTACATAATATTTTCCTTATGAATTGTGGCTATGAGGTCTTAAAATAACTTATGTTACTAAGGAAGATTTAATCCGGGCATTTGATCTAACATTTTGGTTCCGGTTGTATTATCGAATGCTCCTGTGTTTCAAACTATAGGAGTTTAAAATTATTTTACAACCAATATATAAAAAACCGTTTAATTTAAGCAACTCAATAATATATTAATCTGTGTGGGATTTAGGACTTTGTCTGACCTTGTATGCTCACTTGTAGTTCCAAGCCACGTCTCAGCTGTTCAGTATGACTAGCCATCGTATAATTCGAGCGATAAATTCTCATCAAGCCTCTATTTCAGCCAAAAGCCGTTCTATTCCATGCGGTAATTATGGACATTCTATCTCATCGGGTGGGCTTATGACACCTCGATGATGATGACGCCCCAACAAATAGCTAGCATAATCGTTTTCATCTCGGCGAGTCCACAAGGGTGACGCCAGCTAATGTTTGCTATAATCAAGGCGCTTGAATTTAAACAAAGTGAAACGCAAAATGTGCTTTAATATTGATTTGATTGTATGATTGTATGAGTCTAAAGGGAAATGTTAATTTTTATAGGAAAATCGGAGTAGAAGAAAATATAATCTGCTAAAAATATCCGACAATAATATGGTTTATTTTGATTACTAAATTTCCTCCTTTAAATATTACGTAATGTTTGCTTTGGAAATGTTGCTGAGAAACATTTCACCTTACAATTTAAATACGTTAGGTACAATATTTTTTTTTACATTTCATAGTGAAATACTTATGAAGAAGACGAATGAGAAAGAGAACTGACCTAATCTAGTAGTCAGGTTGGTCCCTTTTCTCCCCCACCGGTTCGGAACAATGTCGAAATGTCTTTCTAACCAACACAAAATTTCGACTAAGTTTGATGTTCGCCGACGTCCATAGCTGACACGAATACAACCACCTGCTCACATGGAGCTACAAAATGGAACACTAATATTTAACAGAGGCGCGAGTAATCCGATCGGGTAAAAGGAAAACGTAAATTAGTGATCTTTTTCGAGATGCCACAGCAAACAATAGGCGGTATTTGATCACTCGCCGACCTTCCCGACGAACGGGCGAGATGGGATCGATGCTGAGACGTATTCGGTATGACTCACTCCTCCAGAATACCCGCCTTTCTTGGCTCGATGTATAATTATTACGCGTCTAGACTCGCGGCGTCGACCAGGCGGCGTCTATGGAAATATAATAATGCTGCAGTGACATTTCTCGCTGTGTGGAAACTCCGACCGGGATGGAAACTAGGCCGCTCTGTGTACTCAATCTAAACTCGGTACATAATGTGCGAGCAACTCAATATATATGGGCTGCAATTACGTAATCTCTCCACTTTCTCTAAACGATTCGTGTTTTAGTGGTCGATTGACAACTTTTTTCTATTACGGAAATGCTCGACTCGTGCACGTGATCGCGTTAATATGAAGAACGAATGATTAGTTTATTCGCATAATGTTTTATGGGTGAAATATGGTGTTTAAATTTTATTAATAGAAATTTCGTGAATATATCCTACGGAATATAGGGAAAAATTGTTTAAGCATAGAATAACAACATGTGATAAATTAAAAATAATTGTATTAACGACGGGGCTTTAGTTATGAAATAATTTTTACTTCAAAGAAATAATAAGGAAGATTGATCGATTGTTGTGAGCTATAAATAGCAGAATATAACATACGCACGGTTCAAGATATCGTTAATTTCAAATTACCTTAATGTAAAGTGCAAAGAAACAGGTTCTGTTATCGATTTCGGGGTGTTGCCAGCAATATTTGCATAGAACACATTGGTAAATTATTTACGCATTTAAGAAGCATTTAAGAAGCATTTAAAAAATTACTGCATTCCTTAGTAATTTAGGTAAAATGCTATTACAAGAGATTTATTCCTATTACGCAATAAAAAATAAAACCTTTTAAATACATGCAAGAATGAAAATTTCAATGCCAACAATTAATTTATAATTTTTTAAATTAGTGGCGTTGAGAAAATGTTTCTAAAGTGACGTTGTTTTTTAAACCGTACAGAACTATGAGACCTATCTATCCTATCCTTACCTAAGAGTCGGTCTAGGTTATGTTTTTGAAGAAAGTGGACCGAGCGAGCGTCGTAAGCGAAGCCGCCGATGGACGTTCATAATACGAAAGGATTTTAAGTATCCCACTAATTTAAATTAATATAAAATTTCGTATATTGTCTGTAAAAGTAAATCCTCGGAGAGAAATTTCATAATCGCTACAAATCGTACCTGAACGTATTGCGAGGGCAGTGACAGACGAAAGAGTGCACAGGACGGAAAATACGAGGTGGACCTTACGTTAGCTGGATCGGCCCATATCTCCATATCACAACGCGACGCCACTCAATAGTCCAAGGGTGCCTGGACGCATCTTTCACGCATGCAACCTGTCACCTAATTCGTCGGGAACTCGAGGCATAATTGCTTGTGAATTTTCGCGCGGCACTAAGGGGGCACACATTATATTGTGGAATAGTAACGGAGGCACGTGCTGCCGCGGCAGAGAGGGACGGATTCACTGAACGTCCTTGGCGAGGGGGCGCAAGGGGCGCCTGCGGCATCAGACGTTTCAATCATCCCCGGCGGGAGAGGGACGGGGGCATCGGTTCCCGCCGCGCGCGCGAGAGAGAGATGCGATGCCGTGCTATTGACCGGCTAGCAGACCACGCCCACCCGGGCGAGACGCGGGCGCGCTGACGCTCCAAGTGAAAATCGAACCCGGTCCCGGGCAGTAGACGCGGCCGGCTGCATCAAGGTTAACCGCCGAACGCCGATGCACTTACCCGCGGGGCGTACAACGCAACACTGATACAGCAACTCACCAACTACGCACAGCGAACTGCGTAGGAGCTGTACGTAACGTAAAGTCGGCCGGCGATACCGTTCAATACCGAAGACTTGGCACGCAAAAATTGTGGGCTGCCAGAAAAACACGCGAGCCGGGAGTGGCCGGTGGGGGTTTCGGTCTAGATCGGCGCACAGTTCAGGTCATTCTCGTCGAGATTCGGCAGTAAATTTGGGCTAACGATCCCCCGAGGGCCACTAGACCGTAAAACTATTCTACTTGATTTCTTTAAGTTGCGGGCTTACAACGTTCCACATTTCCAGTTATTGCGCGCTCTTAATCGCGGAATATTTAGTTTACGTAACCATCCCTCGTACGCTTGTAAATATAGAAATGTATTTTTCAATTATCATCTTTCTGGGGTACACAACAATTTAATTTAACAAAGCAGACGACGATCGTTTTACAGAACATCCACAGTATCGAACCGCATCGTAGTATCGCGAAAACATGAAATTGATTAACTCCGGGGCGGTATCACTATAGCGCGTTTTTCACTACGGTTACATAACATTTATTTAATCTTAGGCAGAAAAAATATTGATTTGGAATATTTTAAACCACTATTAGAAACTTAAACAAAGTTAAGCTGCGACGAACGATCGTTTGCAGATATTTGATGACTAGCACTTCGTCCGCGAATTCGTCTGCGAAAATTGTGATAGCTTGGCTAATTTGTATGATGTAAATATAATTTATTTCACCCGCGTAGTTCCCGTTCCGGTTACAGGGTTAAAATATAGCTTATTTGTCAGCAAATATAAGTCTTATAAAAATGTAAAACACTATTTTATATATCGTTAATAGTTTTCGTAACACACGCAAAATAATGTATTTTATAGGCAACATTTTGACATTGTTCTATTCAAAAAAATTTGAGATCCCTACTAAGGTTGGGTGCACAAATTTTTTTGTAAATATAATATAGCCTTTGTCACTCGGTAAATATGTAGCTTACTAATGGTGAAAGAACTTTTAAAATCGGTCCAGTAGTTTTTAGAGTTTAATCTTAACAAAACATTCTCGTTATAATATTAGGTTAGATGTACTCGGTATTTTCATATAAATTTGTAATAACATTCTAAACCCCAACCTTCTGTTATCGAAAGAAAATGTATTTATGTATAAATGTTTAAAACATTTCTTTCAGTTTCTCTCTTATGACTTTATTTCACTTTTAAAATAATTAAATAGAAATTATGTCGTTCAGGGTGTATTTAATAAGATTGTAAAATTAAGACGTGATAAAAATAATTCAAATTGTTTACAAAATAATATTCTTTGATACGTTATCCTAATAGACGCAACAATATCTCGTGTATACTCAGATATTTGTGAAGCTTTTGTTAGAAAATCCTTCCTGGATAGATAATTAATTAATTATCATTTACAAATTACAGTTATCTAACAAGGAAAATCTTGCTGATACTCGCTGAACTATTCGAAAATAGGAACGTGGCGTGATTACGCGAGTGATTGTGCGTGATTGCGCGAGTGATTGATCAATTGATTACAGCCGATACTAGTTTAGCCGAGATGCAGTTTTTACTGAGTGCCAATTTGTCATAAAGTCATTTCGAAAACCTCCAGTAGCTGGGTAAAAAGGTTTAAAAATCGAGTAAAGAATAAGGAAATTCTTAAACAAACTCTCCGCTAAATTCACGTAGTAAAGTTTTCATACTTTTTTTTTGGTTAGTAAAACCCAGTCCTTTATTGGTATGTCAGTAGATTATGAAAGACCCACAAAAACTGGGCTTCCGTAATCCATCTCAGGCCATCGTCGGCGGTAGGGCGAATGGACAAGCTCGACCGGGAGACTTCTTCCGCTTCACGCTAGGAACAAGCTCTCGCTTGAAAACTTTACACTTAACAAGTATAATTATTAACAAAAAAAAAACCGACGTCAATCAGAAAATTAAAAACATTGTTAATACCTATAACATTTAATGATGGCCCTCGATTTTCCTGGGATGCCATCATCAGATCCGGGTTCCTTTGTCATGGTATCACCCTTATATCTCCTTGCCAACAAAAAAGAATCATCAAAATCGGTGCATAAACGACGAAGTTATCCACTAACACACATAAAAAAAAATACGGTCGAATTGAGAAACCTCCTCCTTTTTTGAAGTCGGTTAAAAAACAAAAGGTTTAAACGACTCGGTTGGCAGGAAAACAATGTTTGTTTCCGTGCCGAGCTGAGGGCAATAAGCGTGTCATACGAGTACATGTAGTTTTACGTCTGTCCGTATGCGATCGTTCGTCAGCGCACGAAATGATCCGACGAACGCTAATGCTAACATGGAACACTCACGCAAAAAGGCGGGCGGGTCAAGGCACGTAAATGCCACATGTACCCCACCCGCGCAAGCCTTTTATGGGACCTGTCGGTCCAAATGCGCGCAGTGGCCATGTTCACTCGGCGACAGCGCCATCTTGCGGCCAGGGCGGTGTACATCGACGGCGTTTTATTTAATATGAAAAAGTGGCAAGCCAGCTGGCTGTTCACCTGATGCTAAGGGATAGCCGCTGCCCATGGACATCTGCGACACCCGTAGAATTGCAGATGCGTTGCCACCCTTTAATAAAGTGGGCTCGGGTTACCTCACTCGTCCGACGAAACACAGAAGTATATCACTTCCACTTCACGCTGGTCTGTGAGGGCGTGGTACTTACCCGGACGGACCTGCCCATTCGTGCGACAGCCGAAGCTGTTCCGTGGCCCTGCCACAGTTGATCGTTATACAAAAAATATATTATATAATAATTATAAATTCTAAAACTTCGACGCAAAATTACGAAATCACATTACAAAATTTACGCTGGTCTTCCGCGAGTTTGTCGTACTTCCCTGGACGGACCTTCGCATTCGGGCAACAGTGAAGACTGCTAAGTGGCCCTACAGCAGTTAACTTCAAACCAGTTCTTCTTGCATCATTAAGTCTTTCAGTATACATCCGTTTATTACGAAATCGTGGTACAAATTTTTATAGTCCTAATCTTCGCACTTAGCATTTCAAATTAAATTTCAAATAGCAATGGCGACGCCTCTCGTTCGAATTATCGTTGTAAAAAGATATTTGTAATTTTTTGTTATGTATGCTGTAAAGGACATAATAGATTTGGCGTATTTATTGTTTAAAATGCGAAAAAACGATGTGGATACAATACGAAACATTTTCGTCGGAGTGTCAATCAGTTGATTTGCTTTGTGGCTAAAGCGTCTGGACGCGATTCCGGAAAACGTGTGTTAGATTTATCGAAAAAAGAACTTTCGGTCCTATTTTCTCCAAATTTTAATCGTGGTAAAAGTCAGTACATGAGTATAAGATAGACAGTACGTTTTTATTAACAAAAACCAAAACTGGTGCCCCAGGTCACAATTTTTTGATGTTAATGATACTCTAAGTCCATGAGTGAGGATAATTAGCCCTAGTGCAGTAGTGAGGTTCTTAAAAGTGAATGAAAATCAACAAAGAATATAGACGCCATGTCGACACAATAAAAAGCAATTGATCTTGATTCTAGATACTACATTTTCTTCAACTAAACGCCAAACTGTAAAATGTGAGGGGAAACCAGCCTTTTAATGACCTATTAAGGCGAGGCAGCCGTTAGTGCGCCCGTTAATCACGAAAGAAGGAAAACCCCCATCCCTACCACATCGACTCGATCTCGATGTAATCGTGTAATGGACGCGGGATGAGTGACTTTGAAAAGGCTGACAAATGTACTCCCTATCGGACTTTGTGAACACCATAAAGGGTATATGTTATTTGACATATATATACATAGATTTAGACAACTTAATTGAACTCTGATGATATCCAAATAATGTGATCTTGTCCAAATGTATTTAAAAATTGGGACATCTTTTATACCGACATTAGAGACTTTAGAGATTATTTTAGTAAACTAAATTATTTGTAAAAACAGACCTGATAAGAAAGTAATGGAATACGTTTAAACGAGCAACTCTTGTATTTTATATATATAATGGTTGTGCGAGGCATTTCTTGCCTCGCACAACCACTCTGTGGAACCAACTGCCGCCGGCAGTCTTTCTGGACCGTTACGACCTGGTAACTTTCAAAAAGAGAGCGTACTCTTTCTTAAAAGGCCGGCAACGCATTTGTGAGCCCTCGGGTGTTGCAGGTGTCCATGGGCGGCGGTAATCACTTACCATCAGGTGAGCCTCCTGCTCGTTTGCCCCTTTTCTCCATAAAAAAAAAATTCTTCTGTACGTGTGTATGTTACTGAACTCCTCCTAAACGGTTGGACCGATTTTAATGAAATGTTTTGTGTGACTTCAATTCGATTCGAGAATGGCTTAGATTAACAATTCGGTACACTGTTTTTTTATTTATAAGTTGTTGTCTGATTTAAGTCGTGTGTACAGGACAGTCTGTTGGGTCCGCTAGTATATTTATAAATATAATCTGAAACGGCTGCAATGATTTTGATGAAATTTGGCATTTGGCAGTTACGGGGGGATAAATCGATCTAGCTAAGTTTCATTATTTGAAAACGTCGTTTTATCCGTGTTTTCAGGCAATGAAAAACTGCTACAATATCATTAGAATAAGAAGGTTAATATCTATAAGGTCATTTAGGTACTGTACATATACATAGCATGTCGGTCTCAGGAAAGTTCTGAAAATTAGGAGAACATCGATGCTATATCGATATGATATAAACTTGATTACCTAGCTTAAGCTTAAGAATTTAGCATAGCTTGTTAAGAGAAAAACGATCGATTCAAAGCCAGACTTGTGTTTACGTAAGCGGCAGAACGAAATTAGATGAATAGCCACAGTTTCCAATCGACCTCGAAATGGAAAGCCAACTT